AGTGTGTATTAATCCCCTTCTCTCCCTGCAGGTCTGTGCCTTGGTGTGTAGTCTTATCCTGTCCTCTGCAATAAAGAAGGTCCAGCCCATCCCCATTCTTTACAGCTCCAGTATGGTCTATTAGTCTTCCTGCTTCTGCAAGTGACAAGCCTCTAGCACCAGCTCCTGTCCTGCCTCCCCTTGCAGGGCCAGAGCTCACCCAGCCTCCAGGGGGCACTGCAGCTGTGGTCATCCCACCCTCACTGGGGGGTTGGGTCAGGTGCAGCTCAGGAGCACCAGTCCCTTCACTGTAACCACGCTTGCTGTACTGCAATGTTTTTCTACGCACGTTGAAATAAAGTCAGAAAATGGTGATGCGGCCTGGGCTCTATTCACTTCTCCTCTTCCTGCCCTCCAGCACAGAGCTCTGTCAGGCTACCTTTGACTCACCAGTCCTGCAGGAGCTGGACATCACAGGACTGATCCAGTAACAGGTCAATCATACTGCTGGAAGCCCAGAATCCAGACTGTCCACATGTTCAAAGTGGTGCATTGTCATCTCACATCATGAAAGAGCCCCCCCAACCTCCCTCAGGGACTGGAGCTGAAGGGCCTCCAGTGTCCCCTACTGGAGAGAGGAGGAATCACACCCTGCCTGCTGCTGTTCCAGGTGTCCCTCTCCCCCACCACGGGCCCTGCCTTATTCTCTCCCAGAGCAGACAGAAGCTGAGCTCTGCACCTGTCCAGCCTCACAGCAGGAGCCAAGAGGCCAGGAATGACCACCGGAAGCAGAAATCAGTTCAGTTTGTTTTTTTATTGCAACATCACTCGTATCTCCACACTGACCAACCACACAGCAGCAGCATAGTCACACAGGGCCAGAACAGCAGGCCCCTCCCCACTGGACCGGCCTTCACTTGGGTGGCCAAGCCTTGGGCATGAGGAAGGGGCCCTGCTGGACAGCGATGTCCCCTGGCACAGGCTTGGAGCCAGGAAGCTGCATCCTCATGGCTGTGGGAGAGAGAGAGGAGCTCACAGCCGGGGGCTGCTGGAGTGAGCGGAGCAGATCCTGTAGCCTCACACACGCAGGAGAGAGGAGCTCACAGCCAGCAGCTGCTGGCCACAGAGGAGAGCTCATTCTCAACTGCGCCCACGAGTCCCTGCTCCTGGAGTAACTACCTCCCAGCCCCTCTCCCCAGAAAGATGGGGCTCACAACCCCCCCACCCAACACCCCAGCAGGCAGGGTCAGGGGTCAGCTGGATACTCACTTTTAGGGTCAAAGCACTTGGGGTCACAGGACTGGACAGCGGGAGAGCAGACCTCGGTCACACACATGATGTACACCTGGGGGAGGAGAGGGCAGGTCAGGACCGAGCGCGGCGCCAGCGGTCAGCAGGGTCACCCCCTCGCCCCACACTGACCTCCTCCCCCAGGTAGCGGCCCGTGTTGGGGTTCACGAACTGGAAGGTATGCACGGTGAAGCGCCGGTAGTGTCTGGGGTGGTCGGCTGGCTGCACCTTGATGTCCACAGAGTCGGGGTCCACCTCGTTGGGGCACCTGCACCGAGGGGGACAGGCAGGGTGAGCACAGCAGGTACCCCAGATTGAGAACGAGGGGCAGCCTGCCGGCCCCCCAGGCCGAGACACTGACCCGTCGTAGATGAGCACCCAGGCGGCCTGCGCGGATCTGGGGTACGCCACACAGTAGTGCACCAGCAGCACCAGGCTGGGGTCGGGGGGCAACACCAGCCGCACCTCCAGGAACAGGGGGGCCTTCAGGCGCAGCTGCAGGGGGAGGGCAGCCTGGGGGAAGTAAGAGCGGTAACAGCCATCTGGAGGGAGGGAGAGAGGAGTCTCAGGCCTGCGCACCCTACCCCCCCGGGCAGATCACCAGCAGGAGCCCCAGCCCCTTGCTGGGGCGCAGGAGGGGAGCCCCGACGCAGCACCTCTGGCGACGCGGAGCTCGAGGCGCAGCTGTCCGGCGGCGGAGGCCACAGGCGGAGGCAGGTCCCTCACCAGGAACCCGCGGCTGCTGAAGGAGCCGGGGACGAGCCGGCAGCGCACCTGCATGCTGGGGAGAGGGCAGGGGTCAGGGGTCAGGGGTCAGGGGCCCTCCGCAGCCGGACCGCTGCTCACCTGAAGGGCACGTCCCTGCTGATCTGCCCGTACGCGACCTGCGCCGTCGCCAGCCTGGTGCCGCGCACCTCCACCGCGTACACCGTGGCGTTGCCCTCCACCTGCAGGAGCACAGCGGGCGGTCAGCGGCACGCGGTCAGCGTGACCCCCCCCGCTGGTCAGCGGCGGGCGGGCCTACCGAGGAGCGCACGCCGCACAGCTGCAGGCCGATGGCGAAGATGGCGTAGTGGGGCGTGGCCAGCGCGGGCGCACACCCGCTGGGCCCCGCCACCAGGCCCCGCGGGTCCGTGTCCGGCACCGTGTCGTGCCGGTGGACCGTGAAGATGAAGTGGCCGTCCCGCGTGCACACTGCAGGGGGCAGGGGGCAGGGGTCAGGGGTCAGGGGTCAGGGGTCAGGCACCCCCACAGGGGAGCCCCCCCCCCCAGCGCGGCCGACTGACTGACCGTTCAGCGGGTAGTAGCAGCCGCTCGTCGTGTTGTCCACACAGCAGCCCCGGGCCTGGCAGGCGGCCGGGCTGGTGTCCGGGAGACCACAGCGGACCTGCTGCTCCGAGGGGATCTCACAGCCTGCAGCCGGACAGAGAGGGAGAGGGGACAGCCCCGCTGACCACTGACCACAGCCAGCCAGAGAGGGAGAGGGAGAGAGGACAGCCCCGCTGACCACAGCCAGCCAGAGAGGGAGAGGGAGGGAGAGAGGACAGCCCCGCTGACCGCTGACCACAGCCAGAGAGAGAGAGGGAGGGGGGGGGGAGAGGGGACGGCCCCGCTGACCGCAGCCAGCCAGAGAGGCCAGGCTGTGGTCAGCAGGGCTGCCCAGAGAGACCCCAGGAGGGATGGGGGGGAGAGAGAGAGAAGGAGGCAGGGAGAGGGAGAGAGAGGCAGAGGGAGAGAATGAGAGAAGGAGGCAAAGATAAGAGAGAGGGAGGCAGGGAGAGAGAGAGAGGGGGAAGGAGGCAGGGAGAGAGAGGAGAGAGGGGGGGAGAGGGAGAGGGGGAGAGAAGGAGGCAGGGAGAGAGAGGAGAGAGGGGGAGAGAGGAGAGAGAGAAGGGGAAGGAGGCAGGGAGAGAGAGAGAGAGAAGGGGAAGGAGGCAGGGAGAGAGAGAGAGAGAAGGGGAAGGAGGCAGGGAGAGAGAAGGAGGCAGGGAGAGAGAAAGAAGGAGGCAGGAAGAGGGGGGAGACAGGGAGAGAGAG